TTTTGTAAAAGATGGAAAGTTTTAAAACTTTGCTTTTATATGGCCAACTTCTCCGTTTTGATAAATAAGGGCACATTAGTAACATTCCAGTACACTTGACTGAAAGTATATTAGTTATAATGGGATAAATTACATCTGATAAATTACAGTTTTCCAACTGAAAACTCATTCTAAAACAATGGCTGTAGAATTTTATTAGGAAAAATACCAAGGATAAAAGATAAACTTGTTTCACAACAGAGAACAAAGAGGTTTATTGAAACAAACAGAAAGCTACTGTTAATATAAATGAAGACTCTAACTTAATCAAACATCAACTTTGACTTCAAGAGTTTCTTTATGCTTACATAAGCCAAAAAAAAAGAAAAAATAGTCCTTCACAATATACCAATAGGAATCAGTGTTTTCCTGATATAGAATAAAAGATTTCAAAAATGTTAAATTTTTTTAAAAGTAGATAAAAACTTTCCTTTAATTCTATTGGAGCTGAAAAGCAGCTGTTTAAGAGAAGACTGGGAAACCTCTTGAGACTGCTTTTTAAGACAGCATGTCAAGGATCTACAAGAAAATAACTTTGACGTTGTTCTAGTACCAAGAAGGGTACAGTTGGTTATGTTACTATGAAAGAGCATCTTGAGTACTTGTAATCATAACATTATCTTGGATATGAATTTAAGAACTGCATCCCTGGCTTTAGGAAAAGTAACTTTAAAAATTTGTCTGGTAATGTAAGGCTAATCTAAAATATATTAACGAAGCTTGAGAAACATATTAGTTTAGTCGAAGCTACATAAAAGTAATATATTCAATTTTTTTTTGTTAAAAAGATAATCCTATTCCTAAATGAGTAAGCAGGAGAATAAGTTAATGAAATAAAAAATATTAGGCTAAAATGGAAGATGCTGAGGTTTATCAGAATACATGAAAAAAGAAAACTCTTCTTATAACAAAAAGGGACTTTGACATTCTTTTAGCTCATATCACATTTGATTTAAAGGATTTTTTGTGGCTTACATGAAGATAACACTCGTTCTTTAAGTGGTTCTGATGGGAACCATACCATGGAGGAAAGAAACAAATATTAAGTGTTCAACAACTTCCTTACCCTATTCTCAGTAATAAAAAAAGGAAAATGATATTCCTAATCTTACCAGTTTCTCTAAAGACAAGAAAAAACTTTCTTCAAATTAAAATTTTGTTGATTAAAGCCACTTAGAAACGTATAGAAAGCTTCCAGCCTTAATACGATATCTCCTAAAACCCTAAAGAGCATCAGTAAGAAGTGCTTCCATTGCTATCGTTCAAATCACTTTAAGCTGGAGATTTTTGGTAATACAAGTATTCAAAGATTGTCAATGTAATCCCTATTTAAAAAAAAAAAGTTGGGATGAACATTCTGCATATTGTAAAATGATACAACTATTTAACTTCTATTGTTAGAATGTATAAGAACAAACACACCTAAATGAGAGAACTTGGAAAACAACACTTAATATTAAAACAACTCTGAGTATAGTCTCAAAGAAAGGGTTTTCACATCTAACCAGCTTGTTGGAATTTTTCTACAATGTTACACTAGGTCAAAACAAGGAAATTTAAATGTTGAGAAGCATAATATAATGTAATTAGAGTATAAAAAGTTGAAAAAATCTTGAATCTTAATATTAAAGCAAATCTGAGCATAGTTTAAAAGAAAGGATTTTTACATTTAACAACCTAGTTGAACAATTTTCTACGGTGTAAGACTAGGTCGAAACAAAGAAATTTAACAAGTTTTAATGTTGAGAAGCATAACCTAACATACTTAGGATATGAAAAGTTGAAGAAATCTTAAATCTTTTGACCAAGAGTTTTTTTTGTGGCAAAAATAATAAATAAGAATTCTGGAATAAATTTTCTGGAAATTTTGCATTTATGAATAAGAAGGTTGTTGTAACATTGCATGTGACTGGCATGATTTCATTTAAAACACTGTGTAGTTTTGGTTCCATTACTAGAGAAAGAGTATATAGATTAACAGAAGTTTCTTTTCCATATACACAATGCCACTTTCAGACATCAATAAAAAATAAGTTTATATTCACTACCTTCCTTTTACAATTGTGATACAAAATGTCTATCACCCAAATCTGTAACACAGCACTGGCCAAATTAATTTGCCAAAATGTATGTAATAGAGTACAGTCATTCATAAAAAAACGTCACAATAGCCGATTTTGAAAATAATAATACAACATTTGCTGCAAAACAGTGGGTCATCCCTAGATTGCAAAGCCTCTTTAAGAATTTCCACAACTATTATATTGTACATTTCACAGGTTTTAAAATTCTCAGGAATAAAATTTACAATGGGATCCTCCCCACTATTAAAAGAAACTGGGCATGATATTCCTTCACTAATTCCAGGACTCATGTATACATGTATGTTTTGAGTGTTCTTGTTCTCAGCTAACTTCATAGAGGAACTACCCCTAGCTTAATATGAACGGTCTTACAGATATTCTTAAGAATTTATAATCTCTAGCTTATGTAACTGTTATTTTATTTAATCCTTTCCACATATAACAAGTAAATCACCATCTCACCAAGATCCATGAGCATGATGGCCAACTAGTAGTTTGGCATGCTTGTTAATAAAAATACAGTACACTACAATGTTGATTCAATTTATAAGGAGCTTTCCACCACCAGCTCAACTCCTTTTGAGTTCTAGAACCATAACGTATAATGTCACTGGAACCCACAGTTATTAGTTCTTATAATGCTATATTCCACTCATTGTCTGACAATCTTTAAACAGAAAACATACACATATGGTCAGTTTCAATCTCGTACTTCATATAAGATGTGTAGACATAAGTAATTTCAAACTAGATCAGTAACAGCTGAGATACAATCAAATGATTAGAAACCATTGTTCCATCAGTTGGATACCATCACCATAAGTGATATTAGTAAAATAATCATTTATTAACATAAAATATTTTGCTTTAATTTGGCTAGCAACGGGACAGAAAAATAAACTGCTACTCAAGTGGTTTCCCAACAATATACTACCTTGTTGAGTGCAACAATAACAACACTCACGGTAATATTTCTAAAGGGTCTGATGGAATACTTCTGCTTGTAGTCTGCAGATTAATGTCCTGTACTTCCACAATTAAACATTTCACACCTTACTGGTGTAACTTGAGATTCTACATAGTATATTTGCCAAATTAATCTTTATAGCTGATTTAGGCATTAATCAAAATACTACATTATGCAAAAATCAATTGTCCTAATGATTCTATCATCTCGTATATGTGTTCTGAGACAGATTCAAGGTTTTTATGAAGTTTAACAGATACTAACTAGATTTACTTACTTATTTGATACTGGAATCTCTGCAATGTTGAAAGGTTAAAGCCTTTTCAAGAAAGGTATAATGTATTCAATGTTATAGTTAAATATGCCAGCTTTACCAGAGTGAGGATGAAGTTCATATTAGGATTCAGAGTCTCGTGATTGCAGATTTGAGTCCAGTTTTTAAACAGCAAAACCTGGCTTACTCTGCTCATTAAATTATAATTTTGCAACTTAAATTTATTTTGCCACATTCTTTGTATTTTCCCTTTCCAACTTCTTTCTTCAGTCATTCAACACTTCTATTTATTGACTGTATTCTTCAACTTTTGTTATACTCTAGATTTGACTTTTTTTCTGTCATTCTCATCTTTTTTTTTTTAAGTTCTTGAACCTACCTCACAATCTCTTTCTAATATTCTGGTCACAAACTTTTAACTTTTCCGACTGATTTTCAGTTTTTACGATTTCTCATACACATCAATATCACTTGGAAACATCAGACACTGGATTATTGATTAAAAGAGGTTATGTCAATTAATCTACACTAATTTGCATAGTATTTTTGTAAATCATTTAACTTTTAAACTCAGCCAAAAATTCTACTTTTATCGGGAATAATATTTACGAATATTTTTAAATACCCACGTCATATATCAGTGCTATTGTTTCTGGCTATATTATTATATAAATTTACGAGTCGCTGAATACCTTGCCACTTTTAAATATGTATATGTGTTTTTTAACACTAATATTGGTACATTACTTCGATTTTTTTATTAACAGTAAAACCATGCTTACTACTTCCATTACTTGCATACTATATCAAATATAACGCTGTGTCCACACCTACAGATCTAGTTGTGAAATTTCTCTTTCGATAGATAACATACTATAAAAACTAACTTTAGTGAAGAGGTCCAATTAAAATTCGCACTTCAAACCAACGCGTTTTAACTTGTCAAAAGAAAAAAAAAATAGAAATATAACATGTCAAAAACAATTGAAGCTGCTCTTAGTCTTTCACGCAATAATAAACTGTAATACTAATAGTGATAAATCATGTAAAACAGTTAGCGCAATATCTTAAGTTGTGCGTCAATATTATTATTACCAGTATGAGTATCATAACTAAAATCCGCGGAAATGCATACTACCTTTGGTGCTTTACAAATTACATACAAACTAACAAATTAGTTTAATCTTTCAACTTACACTTTACATCTTCTACAGTTGTTGAATTATATTTATTTTTCTCTTACTCTTACCTTCACATACTATTTACAAGACTTTGAAAATAACATCAAATATGAACAACATTACACGACTGTCCTACGCAAGACGTCATTATAAGCCTACCAGTTTTATATATTTTTTCAGCTTCATTGCTTTTTAACATTCACACTGTACCCTCAGCCGAATGGAGGTTGCTCGCTACCTCCGCCGGCAATCAGCCCTACGTTAGCCTACCTGTTTCGTTTGCCTTCAGGTCATAGCCCACCTGCGCCATCTTGATTTCAACCTCTCCATGTTGTGACTTAATAATATTACTTAAAACAATTAATTCTTTCAAATAACTTATTATTAATTATTAACTCAAAGTTAACGATCATAATAGTCGAAATGACGATGAAATATAATCTTAACAACGTTACCTCATTGGGCTCGCTGAGTGCGAATAAGTCAAGTCGATTTGCATTCCACTGGGTAATAATATTCCGTAAGTTTTTAAGTTCTTCTGCTTTTCGATCCCTTTCACCATCCATGTTGGTGTTTGGATTAACCAGCTCGTATAAAAGATTTATTCAACCACCATGTTAAATACAGCGCTGTCTTGCTTTTATTGAAGAATGATGACAATGATTGGCCTTCAAATCTGTATTTACAAGTCTCTTTCAAACCACTACACTAAAACACACGTTAAATGAATCCGCCCATGGCCCATACACACACTACCACACAGCGTTGGTGAATGTGTTACAGACCTTGGCACGTCAATATGCGTCATAGTATTAGCCACTCCGATTGGCTGTAGGAGAAAACGTGCTCTGGAAGAATACCTATCACCGGAACCGGTATAATTAATTTTTTGCACATTCTGTTTCTGATATTCAAGTAAAAATACGATAGATAAGAGTATTTCGATGATATTATTAATCACAATACGGATAATGTTTGAATTACAATATTACATAGGAGTCTTTGAGAACGTGGTACAAGAAAGGAGAGTCGTAGAAATTTTAATACTAACTAATCGAAAGTTTTTGTGTGACAATTGTTCGATTCATTATTGAAGAAACTTTTTAACTCGAGTTTTCGTTAGTGGTGCGAGTCTCTTCGTTTACCTTGAAGTTGAACTGACGCCATTTAAAAAGTCTGCTACAACAGAATAAAATAAATACTGATAGTGTTTAATTTATATTTTTTTGTTTTATCTTCACTTTTTATTTGAATATAAAATTTCCAATTTATGTGCCCTGTCTATTCGTTTTTCGTCAATTAATAACATTTAATTTTTCATGTTTTGTAAACAATGTTCACTCTTGTGTGTATATGATGCTTCTCTAAGCCTGTTCGTCTTTTAATCTTTATAACTTTCTTAGATATTTCTAATGACTTATAAAATGCAGTAACGGGCTTCCAACGAAACCGCCGGTGGCTCAGCGGTAAGTCTGGGAGGTTATAAAACTAAAAATGTGGTTTCATCACCCACGGTGCGCACAGCATAGATAACCCATTGTGTGGCTTTATACTTAACAACAGACAAAAATTTTAAACAAGGACTTCCAGTTTTAAGTATTTGTATGTTAGTGTACTCGTTATAAAAACATCAAATGTACTGTTGCTTCACGTAAACATATTTCCTTTATTGTACTCTAGTTTTCATTTTCTTCAAGGAAATCTCTAACTAGACATTAAGATGTTTTCAGTAACTTGTAGCTAAATAATTATTTGTAATTCATATTATTAACCTAAGAAACCGAAACCACGATTTTATCCTCTTTTTGCATTATCACAAAACGAGAGTAAAAACAGACACTTATATATATTTAAATACTAAATTTGAAGAAAATATGAGTGAAAACAAAGAAAAATATCTAATAAATAACACGTTGTAGATGCTTGTTGAATTTTGTATAAAGCTACTCGAGGGCTATCTGTACTAGTCGTCACTAATTTTGAAGTCATAAACTAGAGGGTAGGCAGCTAGTCAACACCACCCACCGCTAACTCGTGGCTACTTTAATCGAATAGTAGGTTTTGACTGTCACTCTTGTAACTTACTAAGTCATTAAAGTATGAAGCGTGATTTATTTTCGGAGATATCGTTGTTTTACGCTAAAAGAGCACGAACTACGGAATCTCGAACCAAGGATAATAATATGTCAAGTTGTCAACCATATATCTGCCATAGCTAGTGCCGACGAGGCCTTTCATCCAATACCAAGACTCTTCAGGCCAGCTGTGATGCGTCAGACAACCTTCCTTTTAGTCTTTGCTCACTTACTAAAACTAATTATTTTCAGATAGAAAATTATTATATTTCCATAAATGCAATTTCAAAAAAGTAAATGATGAAAAGATTCTCCGCTGTGTAATTTAAGAAACCAAAATCACTCCACGATAACGACAACTCAATTTGCAACTGTTAGCAGTTGTTGAATATCTTTGTTCTCTATGACCGATATTTTTTTAATCTAAAAAACACACACATACTCTTATTTCCTTCAAAATCGAACAACTAATATATAGTTTTTATTCTTGTTATAACTAAAAATCAAGAGTAACTTTATATTTCAAATATGTATGTTTTCCAAAATGAAATATTAACTACACCACAATACTTTTCAAAAAGCTCTTCACAAAAGGCTATTACATTCACTTCCTTTTATGTGAGCGTAAGTGCATGGAACCCCATTAAATACTGTCCGGTTTCTATCACCTAACCAGAAAGCAATGGACACAGGCAAACAGGCTGAGGTCAGGCCACGGCAGAACAGCGGCCAACCCGCATCGACGGGGTTATGGTGAATCCCCTATATGCCCAGCATGTCAGGAATCCCCACAAGACAGACCATCTCGTGTTGCACTGTCCGGTCACTGCGGTACCGGGGGGATTTGGTACAATCCTTGAAGAAGGGCGAGGCATTCATTGACTGGATCATGACTACGAACTTGGAGGTGTGAGAAACACCATACGCAACTACTACCCCATTAAATAATGAGCGCCACCGTACAATCGTTATAAACCATAAAAGAATAAAGACAAAAACTGAAAAAACAGTTTTCAAAACTGATAAATTAAAATATACTTATTCCTAGGTTGTTGTTGATGGCTAATTTGAAATAATCACGTTTCTCAAGCTCTGTTCACTTAGGAGGTTCATTCCTTCACAGACTTCATGGGTGATGGTTAAATTAAAATAAGTTCGGTTTACAAATTTATAAAGTAAAAAATCTGGTGTCATTTGTAGAACTTTTTTTCATAATTACTGATGTCGACAGCAAGAGAAAAATAAACCAAACGATTCTGTATTATAAAGTTGATAATAATTCCAGGAACTTTTAATCAAGAATTAAGATGTCAAAGTTTCAAAAACATCATTCTTTGTACATTAATTATTCTAGAAGATCGGATTATTCAAGGAGAGGCCATAGTCGCCTCATCCAAAGTATGCTTCGATATTTTGAAAGACTAGAGGGAAGGGAGCAAGTCATCACCACCCACCGCCAATTCTTGAGCTACTCTTTTACCAACGAACAGTGGGATTGACCGTCACATTATAACGCCCCCACGGCTGAAAGGGTGAGCATGTTTGGCGACCTTCAGATTGCGAATCGAGCGCCCTGACCACCTGGCCAGGCCAGGCTCTTTGGAAAAGGCAGCTAGTCAACATCACCTACTCAAATTGAACAATGGAATTTTTGGCAACGGGACAAGAACTAGAAGATCTTAAGATTCACTGCTTGTCACGCTAACCACTAGGTTCAGCTCGGCTCAGAAAAAACAAATAAAAACAAAACACTGAAAAAATACTAAAAAAAATATTTTAGTATAGTCCAAATAACATC